AAAAAACTCCTGTTGTCCTCATTTTATCTACAGCCTTTTGCATTTTTTCTGTAAGATTTTTTGATGAAGAATCTTTTTAAAAACCTTATTGAGGTTAATTATCATACACCATAAAATTCACCTATTCTAATGGTACAGTTCGTGATGTCGAGTAAGTTTGCCAAGTTGGACAAGAGATGAGGAGAAACTTGAATCACACAGGAAAGATGAAGAGCTATGTGGCAAGCAGTCATGTGCCCACCATCAAGTTCTACAATTAATATTTTGTTGTAATTACATCTTCATCATCTACCCTCTATCTCTTCATTTATCAGTTCAGTTGTTTTTAATATGGAATTTTTTATTGAGGTGAAATTCAATAACACACAGTTAGGTGTGTACACGCTTTAGTGTGTACCGCGTGCTCTTATTTGTTATGTTCTCAAGGTTGTATGACCACCAGCTGTCTCAGTTCAGTTCAGTTGCATCTGACTCTTTGCAACCCCATGGACTGCAGCACGCCAGGCCTACCTGTCCATCACCAACTCCCAGAGCTTACTCAAACTCATGTCCATTGAGTCGGTGATGCGGTCCAACCATCTCATCTGTCATCCCCTTCTCCTCCTGCCTTCAATCTTTCTAGTTTCAAAAATTCTCACCACCCCATAAAAGTACTTTGTACCCATCAATTAATCACTCCCCATTAACCCTGATGCCCTTCTCTGGTAGCCAGACCTCTCTGTCTCTATGGATCTGCCAGTTCTAGATACATTAGATAAAAGGAATAGCATACCTTTTGCATCTGTCTTCTTTCACTGAGCAGAATGTTTCTGAGGTTCATCTAAGTTGTGGCATAATCAGCACTTCATTGCTTTTTATGGCTCAATCACATTCAGTCGTATGGATGTACCCAGTTTGATTATCTACACATCTGTTGATGGATATCTGGGTTGTTTCTGCCTTTTGGCTTTAGTGAATAATGATGCTATGAATATTCATGTGGAAGTTTCTGTGTGGGTGTATGTGTTCAGTTCTCTTGGGTTTATACTTAGAAGTGGAATTTCTAGGCTACCGTGTAACTGTTTTGAGGAACTGCCAGACTGTTTCTAGTGTCTCCACCATTCTGTATTCCCACCAGCAGTTGCGTGAGGGGTCCATCCTCATCCTCATCCTTGCTGACCCTTGTTATCTTGGGCTTTCTGATTAGAACCATGCTAGTACCTGCGAAGGGGGTCTCCTTGTGGCTCCAGTTTGCCTTTCCTTAGTGGCCGATGGTATCGAGCATCTTTTCACGTGCTTATTGGCCATCCCTGTGTCTTCTTTGGAAAAGTCTTATGTTCAAGTTCTTTGCCCATTTAAAAATTGGATTATTTTTTCCTCAATCCAATTAAAAACTTTTGTTACCATTTTGTATGTGGTTGGTATTAAACATAAATGCTCTCTTTACGTGCAGCTTTTCTCTTTGTCAAACACGTGAAATGGGCGTTTTCTATGTGATGAGAGACTCTCTTGAAACCTAGAAAGGGTGTTGACAAAAACACAAGCCTGCTCCTTTTCACTTGTGTTCTCCTGAGTTTGCTGGGTCCCGCCTGAGCGGTGGGGAGGGAGCAGATGTTGGGGGGTGGCCTTCCCTCTGCGCCCTGACGCCCCAGCTCCCTGCAGAGGTCCCCAGCATGCCGGAGGTGCACACCAGCCCCAGGGACCCCCGGATGTCTTGGGGCCCACGGGAGGCCTCTGCCTCAGGTGAGAAGCTTGGTGGAAGCCCCCAAGCCCGAGGGCCTTTGGGGTGGACGTTGAGGGTGGGGGCAAGTGGTTCTGGGGGGAAGGGATGTGGAGAGGAGGGTCTGACATGGACAAAGACGGAGGGTGAGGAGGCAGGCAAAGACATCTCGGGTCTTTTGTTTCCTCCTGTTTTCAGATTTCAGAGACCAGTGGTGGGCACCCCAGGAGCAGCCCTCAGCGCAGGGTAACCCCAGAGGAGACCAGAGCCCACCCCTGTCAGCCCCGGGCCCTGCCCCATCTCTGCAGCTCTCCTCATACGGGCAGCTTCTGCAGCCAGGCTCGGGGCCCCACGACTGCAGACAGAGCTCCCATGGGTGTTGCCCCGACGGCCACACTGCCTCCCTTGGGCCACAGTGGCAGGGCTGCCCTGGGGCCTCCTTGTGTCAGCAGAGCAGGTGGGTGCCTCTCCCCCCTCCCCAGGTCAGAGAGGGAAGGTGTATCTTCAGGGGGGGTGTCTGATGGGCGGGGCAGTGTCTCTGCTCAGAGCGGGTGGGGTGGGTTAGCAGAACTCAGGAGCGGGATTCCAGGGCCGCTGTGCCTGAGCTGCCCAGTCTGGGCAGAACTAGGGACTTGGCTTCCTCCCCCTCCCACTGAGCTCCCTAACCTGCTGGGTGGGGGTAAAAGCCCACCCCCTCCACCCCCAACTGCCCAGCTCTCTCTGCAGAGATCAGCCTGTTGAGATGTAGCCTGAGGCTCAGGGATGGCAAGTAGGGTGTGAATTCTAGCTCTGTGATTCAAATCAGCTCTCTTGGGCTGGGGTGCTAAGGGCCACGATTCTGGAGTCAGCAGCTTGGGGGTGAGCCTCAGCTCAGCCAGCAACCCAGCTGTGTGACTTGGGCCAAGTCACTTAACCTCTCTGGTCCTGGCTTTCTCTGCTGAGCATTGACAACAGTGACAGCCAGTGACAGGCCCTGTGAGGCTGGGCCAGATCACATGGTGCCTGGCACACAGGGGCTTCAACACGTTCCTTCCTTCACCTCCCTCCCCGCCTCCTGGTTGGTGGAGGGGGAAGTAAGCCAGGGGCTCCTTTGACCCCTTCTGCTGGCCCGTCTCCCAGCTGCCTCTGTTCTGTAAAACCTCCCTGGGAACCTGGTGTCTGGACAGCTCCGGTGACTTTCCACCTTCTGGATTTTGTGTTGGGATGTGTGAGTTGAGCATCTGTCGATTATTAAGGGCTCAGCTCTGCCTACTGTCTTCCTGTTGCCCCCCCGGGAGCCCCTAGGTGGTGAGTGGACGTGGCGGAGACTGGGGTTTGCCACATGGTTCTCCTTGCACACAGGACCCCAGTCTCCCCACTCGGATCCTCACCTGGTCAAGCCCTCCCCCGGCTCAGGGAGCCTCAGGGCCTGGATCCTGGGGTGCTGGAACTCAGGGTCCCTGGTGGGGTGGGAGTCAGGGCTGTGATGTCTGTCTAGGTTCGGGTGCTGCCCTGACGGGGTGACCGTGGCCGAGGGGCCCCATCAGGCGGGCTGCATGAGCTCTCACAGACGCGACGACGCCGGGGGCAGGCCAGGATCGAGAGCAGCGGCCTCTGCAGTGAGTGTCTGCTCACCCCAGGGCCACGAGTCCAGCCCGCGGGCCTGCTCGGTGCCGCTGTGACCGGGGCTCGTGGCAGCTTTGACCTTGAGGAGGGAGGTCCCTGAAGCTTGCTGGCCTGGCTCGTCCTCTCAAAGGCACAGGCTTCCGCGACAGGCCCGGGCTGGGGGTTCACCCGACCTCCTCCGGGGTCTGATCTCCAGGGCTGGGGTTCTGCTCGATGGGGTCACAGTTCTGTCCCTCTCTCTCCCTGACATCCTCCCCCCGGCAGCCTGGAGTCCTCCCACCAAGAGGCAGACCTCCATCTAACTTCCCAATCCTGGGCTCTCTCCCCAGGTCCCCAGTGCCCACCGGCACCAGGCCCAGCAGAATGAGCCCAGCGAGTGCCGGGGCTCCCAGTTTGGCTGCTGCTATGATCACGTGGCCTCCGCGGCGGGCCCCCTGGGGGAAGGCTGTGTGGGCCAGCCCAGCTCCGGTGAGTGGCTGATCCTCCTCATCCTTCCTGGTGGGAAGGCTCTCCTCCCACTCTGCTCCCCTCCCCCCCAACCCCCGCCAGAGCCCCCGACCTTCCTCCTGGCTGGCTTATCACTCATTTCTTCCACCAATACTTGCTGGCACCTGCCAGGTGCCGGGTTGGAGAACGGTGCTGGATTATCCTGCCCGACAGGTCATCCTCCCCCATGAGTTTGCACTCGCGGCCGCCTGGCTGCCTGTGGGAGCCGGGAGCGTGGTCAGTGAGGAGTCCACGGAGTGTGCTGCCCCTTGGGGCTCAGCCTCCTCCAGAGGCGGGGTGTGGCGGGGGTCAGGGCTGGGATGGATGGGGTGCCCACCCTGCCTGGGATGCTCCTGGAGGGAGGCCTGTGACGTGGCAGCACGGGTGCCCATGTGCCAAGGACCGTCGGGGACGCCAGAAGCCAGGGGGCAGAGTCTGCAGGGAGCTGGGCACCTGGGTGGGGGGGCTTTAAGTGTGGGGCCTGGAGGGTCACATCTGAGTGTGGAGAAGGATGGCTGGGCTGGGGGCTGGAGAAGGTTCTGAGCTGCTCAGGGGCCCAGGAACAGGGTGGGCCCCCTCCCTGGGCATCTTGGCAGCCTGTGGGGGCTCAGAGCTGGTGCTTCTGCGTGAAGCACGTCAAGGGTTGGCTCTGGGACTGTTCTGTGTGCACTGGGGGTGCGGGGGGCCTGGGTCAGGTGGGGAGGAGCATGAGGGAGCCCGTCCAGGGAGGTCACAGCCCTGATCCTCTGCAGGGCTCCAGCTCTGGGGGTGCAGAACAGGCTGGTTCTGCTGGGGGTCCCAGGGCAGTGAGCAGAGTCTGTCCCCAGAGCCTGTCAAGGGCCCCGGCAGTAGTGTGGATGTGCGCTGAAGCTGGGGAGGGCCTCGCTCCTGAGTCCCGGGCCACGTTTGCAGCTTCCCTACTGGGTCCCGGTGACCTGCGTGCTTCCTGCCCCCCTCAGAGTACCCCGTGCGGTGCCTGCTGCCCAGCGCCCATGGCTCCTGCACCGACTGGGCCGCCCGCTGGTACTTCGTCGCCTCCGTGGGCCAGTGTAACCGCTTCTGGTACGGCGGCTGCCACGGCAACGCCAACAACTTTGCCTCAGAAGAAGAGTGTGTGAGCGCCTGCCGGGGACCCCAGCCTGGGGCCAGGGCCTCTGGCCAGAGCACCCACGGAGATGGTGGCGGCAGCGGTCCTGGGGGCCAGCAGGAGGCTGGCCAGCATGGGCTGGGGCCTGTGGTCCAGAGAAGACCCTTGCCTTCCGGTGGCCTCCGGTGGCGAGACCAAGAGCCTGGGCTGGGGGTGACAGACCACAGACAGGCCTTTGGAGAGGGGCCCTGGGGCCAGGAGACTGGGCCCAGTCCCCCTGGACTGAGCGGAGACGCAGGACGACCAGCGCCTCCTTCCCGTGGCGGCTCCTACAGGTGAGGCCCCCCTTCCCCGGGTGGGATGGGGCCTGGGGCCAGGGGCTGAGCCTTTTAGGGCTAAAACCCTGAGATCAGCTGGGCCTCCCTCCATCTCTCACCTGGAGTCTTCCAGCCTGGGGGGCTTTGCTACCATCGTTCACAGATGGGGAACCTCAGGCTTTGGAGACATGAGGCTTGCCCAGGGCCGGGTGGATGGTGGCACCTGAATTCTGCAGCAGATCTTGCTGGTATGATCCAGGGCCTGTCTAGTTGAAGCTTAAGAGCTTCATGCCCTTTGGCAAGTCATCCAGCTTCTCGAAGCCTCAGTTTCTCCACCTGTAAATGGTGACATGGTCCCATAGGTTTAGTGTGGGTCCTGTTTGTCGTCACTCTTCGGCTGTGTCATATTCATGAGAGGTGGGAAGATTAAAAACAATCAATCAAACTTTGAATTCCCAAGGGATCAGGCATGTGTTTGGTTCTCCAGCTGCTTCTCTCTCAGACTCTCCATCTTGGGGTTCTGTGCCTATTCTGTGCTCATTATTTTTGGCTGTGCTGGGTCTTTTTGTGCAGGGTTTTCTCGGCCTGCAGCGAGCAGGGTCTACTCCCTGGTTCTGGGTCACAGGCTCTGGGTGTGCGGGCTTCAATAGTTGTGGCTCATGGACTTAGTTCCCCTTTGGCATGTGGGTTCTTCTCAGATCAGAGATTGAACCTGTGTCTCCTGCATTGGGAGGCGATTCTTAACCATGAGACCACGAGGGAGGTCCATATTCTGTGCTCTTGCGGAAACAAGTTGAGGGCATAATGCCTGTGGGTATTTTCGCAGTGGAGTGGGGAGGGTGGATTCCTGATTTTGCAGGCTTCTGGAGCATGGCTTACATGAGAAGTACCTCTGGTACCCATGACGGGGTACCGGGCTTTCTGTGGGGATGCACTGATGAAGGGATAGTCCCTGGTGCTGGCCCTCATGTGACCCTCTGTCCCACCTTCCCAGGATCACTCTGGCGGGCTCGGAGCCTTCCGTGGTGCAGGCGGCCCTGGGGCAGTTGGTGCGGCTCTTCTGCTCCGAGGACGGCTCCTCAGGCCCCCACTCCAGGTGGCAGAAAGATGGGCGGCCCGTCTCCTCTGACAGGTGGGTGCAGCCAGCCCGCTGCCCCGCCCAGCCCCTCCAATTCCCGAGGATGGGAGGGTGAGAGAGCAGGGTCAGGGGAGCCAGGCTCGCTGTTGCCTCGGGACACAGCGCTCAAGCCCCCTGCCCACCCTCAGGCACCAGCTGCAGTCCGACGGCTCCCTGGTCATCAGCCCCCTGAGGGCGGAGGACGCGGGCACCTACAGCTGTGGCGGCCCTGGGCCGGACCATCACTCTCAGCAGGTCCAGCTTCGCGTCACAGGTCTCGTCCCAACCCCACCATGTCATGTGGGTTTTTCTGGGCCCCTGGGTAGGAGTCCCGGCTGGGGCGCCCCCCACACTGGAGGACTAGGGCAGGAAGCGGGCCATGGCATCCTGGCGGTGGAGCCCCCGTGCTCTGGGTCGCCTGGGGCGGGCGTCTTGCCCTGTGTGGCCCTCCCCTGCCAGCTTCATGGGCACCCTCCCTTCCACCCGCTTCTCCCCACAGCTCACCCCTTGCTTCTGGCCTCACAGCAGGGGGTGACGTGGCCGTGCCTTCTGAGGCTGAACCGAGGCCCTTCCCCGAGACCAGGGACCCAGCCCAGGACCACAGGCCTCAGGACCCCAGCCTCGGGGGCCCCGCCGCCGCCTCGCACCCGTGGCCCCTGACCAGGTGCGGGTGCTCAGCGCTGTCTGCCGTCCGCCTGGCCCACCGAGGGCCAGGGTCAGGGGAGGGCTCGGTGGGTGAGAGGAGGGCGAGGTGGTCAGTCCCCGGGCCGGCGTGTGCTGTGACCGGGCTTGCCGGTCGCCTGCTCAGGGCACTGGGAGGGGATGGTGAGGTGAACGTGGCTTCCAGAGCCCGGCCTCTGAGGCGGGGGTGGGGAGTCCTGCCCACCACCGTGAGCACTGGGGAGTGGAGCCCGTGCTGGCCCCGGCCTCGGGAGCTAGAGGGCTGAGCCGGCCTTGAGGAGGGGAGTTTACAGAGCGGGCGCAGAGGGCTGGAGGGCCCACGTCAAGGACCTGGTGCAGGGCGGGCAGAACGCAGAAATTCTGGGTGGTGGAGATAAGAAAGCCGGAGCTGGCTTTGAGCCTGGATCCCCGACGGTTGGCGGTGTCTCCCAACCAGAACAAAGGGCTGAGGCTGGAGAGCAGAATCTGGTCAGGGTTGGGTGGAGAAGGGGCTCATGAGGCCGGGTCGGGGTCCCGTCCCCAGGCAGGAGGGTGGTCGGGGGGGAGGCAGGGCAGGAGCCCCCTCACGGCTGAGCAGTGCTTACTCTGCAGGGTGCGTCTGGACCGGAGCCAGCCCGGGGTGCTGGACGCCCAGCCGGGCCAGCGAGTCCGGCTGACCTGTCGTGCTGAGGGCTTCCCGCCCCCGACCATCGAGTGGCAGAGAGACGGGCAGCCTCTCTCTTCCCCCAGGTTCGTTCAGCTCCCCTCCCCTGTCCTGCCTCTGACCACGCCCCGTCTGGGCAGATGCCGTCCCCTGGTCAGACCTGAGCGGGACCCCAGGGCCTCTCGAGAGACGGGGTTGCTGGGCGGAGGACTCCTTGGGCAGACCATGCTGGGGTCTTTGGGCCTTTCCAGAGTGTGGCTAGTGGACAATCTTAAGAGGCCGGCCAACAGGTGATGGCCGAGGGAGGAAGCGGAGGCAGACACCCTACTGACTGTGATCCTAAGAGCCCGTGCTGAGGCTTAATCTCTTTCACGTGACGTGCAGGAGAGCTAAAGGGGTGCTGTTTTATCCCCATGTGACACACAGAAGCTCAACACCACCCAGCTCCTAAGTGACCAAACCAGGACTGAGCCTAATGAACGAGTGTAGGAAAAAAACTAGAAACCCAAACCAGAGTCACTTTGTACCCGAAAATGAAATGATCTGCTTGTTGCCAGGCTTTAAAGTCAGGTATCCTTAAGTAAACGAGAGTGCCAGCAGCTGGAGGATGGTCAGACCCCGCTGACCAGCAGGGCCCACTCAGCCTCTCACCAGGGGATGGGAGACCCTGCCTACCACCTCCTCACCCACCGGGGCCCTTGGGGTGGAGCCACTGACTGTGCTTGGCCCCCGCAGACACCAGCTGCAGTCCGACGGCTCCCTGGTCATCAGCCGCGTGGCTGTGGAGGACGGGGGCTTCTACACGTGTATCGCGTTCAACGGGCATGACCGAGACCAGCGCTGGGTCCAGCTCCGAGTGCTGGGTGAGGCGCAGCCTGAGTGGGCGGGTGCGTGTGGCCAGTGGCCTCTGGGGTCCGGAGGGGCACCGTGGGCGTGCCGTGGCTGAGACTGTCCCCCCACCTCGGGCCCAGGAGAGCTGACCATCACAGGGCTGCCCTCCACGATGGCCGTGCCGGAAGGGGACACGGCCAGGCTGCTGTGTGTGGTGGCGGGAGAAAGCGTGAACATCCGATGGTCCAGGTGAGGCTGTTCCTGGCCCTCAGGCCCTCACACCTGGACTCATACAGCCCAAACGGGGGGTGGGGGCGGGGGGGGTCCACCTTTGTGCAGAACATTGCTGCCACCAGCACCCCTCCCCCTTTCTACTCCCGCCTCCTGGCCTGGTATCAGGGGAAGGGGCTACAGCACCCTCCTCCCTTTATGGGGAAGCCCCCCCAGGACCACTCTCTTCTCTGCTGGTCGGGCTACACACCAGAGCTTCTCAAGCTTGGCACTGTTGACGTTTTGGGCTGACAGTTTTGGTTGTCGGGGTGCATCGGGCGATGTTCAGCCGCATCCAGCCTCGGGGTACCTGTAGCACTCCCTCCCACATCATGGCCACAGAAAGTCTCCAGGTGTTGCCAGACGTCCCCTGCATGGCGGATGCTCTGCTGGGCTGAGAAACATGGGGCTCCACTCAGCTCTGGGGGCTTCAGGTGGTCTTTTACCCCAAGTCTGCTGGGCTTTTATTCATTCAGCAAACAGTTTGATGCCCCTTTCTCCTTGTAGTATGTCAGGATGAGGCCAGGCCCTGGGGATCCTGGGGTAACCTGAGCCCCAACCCCGACACTCCAGCAGGAAATGGCCCAGTGTCCCCCAGGCTCGCAGGAGGTTTGCCCTGGGTGCATCTGGGTCACTGGGCGGCTCTGGAGCAGGCCTTAGACTGCCTCCTCCCCGGGAGAACCAGCTCAGCACCCCCAGGGCCTGGAGGTTCTCCCAGCATCCTCTCTCCTACAGGAACGGGCTGCCGGTGCGGGCCGATGGCCACCGCGTGCACCAGTCCCCGGACGGCACACTGCTGATCCACAACCTTCGGGCCAGGGACGAGGGCTCCTACACGTGCAGCGCCTACCGTGGAAGCCAGGCCGTCAGCCGCAGCACCGAGGTGAAGGTGGTCCCGCCAGGTAAGGAAGGCCCACCCCAGGCACCTGCTTGTCTTCGGGAGCTGGCCGTGTGTGGCTGGACGCGGAGGGCATGGGCTCTGCAGTTGGAGGGGCTCTGCCAGTTCCCGGTTGCGTGACTTGGGGTGGGCCAGTTGTCATGTGGCCTGAAACAGCCCTGGGAGGGAACCGCCAGGGCCCAGTGATGCTGGTTGGCCTGGACGGTCACGGCTGTCAGGGCTGTAGCACTTCACCAGGACCACACAGGGCGTCGGGCCTGGCTGCCTCCTGTCTGCCAGGCTGAGTGTGGAACTGGCCAGGTTAGAGGTTGCAGTCTGGTAGAAATGTAGCTTAGTGAGCGGGACTGATGGGGGGCTTCCAGTTTATGAAGACAGGGACTGGGACCCAGCCAGGGCCTGGCACAGGGCTTGGCATCACTGGGCGCTCAGCCTGAGTGCATGTGCGTGAAGGTGATACCTTGGCGAAGGCACCATCCTGCAGGGGCCGCTTTTCACCTCGATCGTGCGCAGCAGATAGATCTCTTATCCATGTACTTACCAAACTTACAAGACTTGAGACAGGCCAGAGTGCAGATTTAAGTGAGAAAGATGGCTGTCGGGAGGCCCCCCAGATGGGCATGTCTGTGATTAGGTAGCGGCGTGTCTGCGTGGGAAGCCAAGCTGGAACCAGAAGCTCAGCTGACGCTGAAGTTTGGTGGGGCTCCCAATGATGCATGGTCACCAACAGGAAATGGTGTGATGGGACTGCCTCCGGGACAGCACACTTATGGCCTCAGTCCGGCTCTCTTTCTTCTGCCCCCTGTTGGATGAGTGTTGGTAATCTGAGACACTTTCTTTGGGGGAGGAGGGCACCTTTAAGGAGAAGGTATCTTCCTCTCTCCTTTAACTGTGCTCGTTCTGTCAATTAAGCCGTATGTATCTGCCGTCACCCATCTAAGCTTTTTGTGGCATTTCACTGCTTGAGGCTGCCTCACTGTGCCCTGGGTTCATGGTCTGGTGGCATGCTGGAACTGCAGTGTTAGTATCAGGGGGAGGGGCCTTGAGCTGGTCCCACTCTGGTGTAAGGAACATAGTTCTACTGGGGACATCTTGCAAGCTTCCTTTTTTTTTTCTTTATTGGAGTGTAAATGCTTTGCAATGTTGTGTTAGTTTCTGCTATACAACAAAGTGCTGTCAAGCTTTTTACCTAAAGGTTTAGGGTGAGAAACAGAAAATACTGTAAGGTTAAAACATGGGAGGGCGGGGGTCACTCACACTTTTCGGAATGGGAATGCCCCAGTTACGTGCTAGTTTACTTTAGCCGTGGTTACTGTGTGCTTCAGTTGCTATCATTAACTCCAGATGAGATGGCAAACATGGAGAGCTTATGTGACCATTTGCCCCAAGTCCCCCGGCTGAAAGGGGCAGAGCCAGGATGGTGCCCAGCCTGCACTACCATGCCCGGCACCTGCTCTCCTCTGGCTGTGATGGCTGAGATTAGGTTGATAACCAAAGTGGCTTGTTCTTTATGTAAATGTAGGTAGTTCATACTCTTGTTACACTGATGAGCCAAGCCTTCACAAAGCCGTAGGCTGGTTAGGTGTTGTCTGTTAGCCGTATGTGGGGAGGGGGCATGGAGGGGGGCTTCCGCAGCCCCGTGGGGTGACTTTGGGGAGGTCAGAAAGAAAAAGGAGGTTTCTTTCTCCCAGAAAGAAAAGGGAGGTTAACTAGACAAAGAGACTTCAGTCCAAAGACGAAGCAGCGGAATGAAACGCCCACAGTGATTTGTAAGCTACGGAAGCGCCGAGCAGATTCAGAGGGAGGCACCCGGCGGTTTGTGCTCAGGGCTGCGTCAGCGCCGCAGGTCGCAGCCTGTCCTCCCATCACCGGCCTGACAGGCTCTGCTGTCTCTGGGGAAGTGGGAACAGCCGGAAAGCTGGGGAGCTAAGTGACTGAGCTGGGGCCACTGAAAGCAAAACGCTTGAAGTGGGAGGAAATCAGCAGTGAGAGCGAGCAGGCTGCTCTCGCCAACTCAAAACTGTGCTTGGGGCCGACCCCACTCTCCTTGTCGAGGCCACGGCCATGTTCATGCGGCTCCTCAGGTTTCAGTAGTCAGAGCAGGCGGCTGACTTCCAGAGATGTTTAATCAGCTGGAGAGTCAGTATCTGGGGGTCTGCGATGGGCTGCACTGGGGCGAGTGGTGGGGGTGGAGGGGGAAGAGGGCTCCGAAAGAGTGACAGGAGGCCCACTGCACGCCGAAGCGGGGCCCATAGCAGTGAACACCGTGGGGCCTCAGCTGGACATACAGGTGTTACCGGGGTACAGTGACCCAGCATCTTTGGGAACCTGGCGGTTACAGTGCTGCTGTCCTTTAGGGAAATGACAAGGCAGGTGAGTTTCCAGCCACACGGAGCTTTCTTACCACCCTCTCCCCACCGGTTTCTCGCAGCACTGGCCGCCCAGCCCCGGGACCCCAGCAGGGACTGTGTCGACCAGCCGGAGCTGGCCAACTGTGACCTGATCCTGCAGGCCCGGCTCTGCGGCAACGAGTACTACTCCAGCTTCTGCTGCGCCAGCTGCTCCCGTGTCCAGCCGCCTGCGCGGCCCGTCTGGCAGCAGGGGCACAGCTCATAGCGCTGGGAGGAGGAGGCAGGCTCTCGGTCTCCCCTCTCTGGCTGGAGGAGGGAGTTCTCCAGAGACACCGGCCTGGTCAGATCTGCCCTTCGCCATGGAGCGCCAGCGGTGTCGGCTTCTCTGACCCGACCACCGGTGCCTGCTGGGCTGTCAAGAAGTGGCGTCTTGTTTGCAATAAGGACACCTTTCACTTGACAGTTTCTCTCTCCAGTTTGTTATCCAGGATCAGCTCACTGTTTTTAAAGCCAGCTACCAGGGTTCTCACATTGCTGAAAGCTGGGTGGGGAGGTGTGTCCTGTCTGGGGAAGGTAACTGACTCCTGGTGTGTGTGTTAGGGAAACATTCTTTGCTAGAACTAGGTCCCATCTGGGGTCCAGATGTGGTTCATTGCTCCAGTCTCTAGCCCTTCCTAGGGAGCATAGCGACCAGTTTCAGATCCCATCTGTGCCTATGGTTAACTGCACAAAGTTGGTGAAAGCCCTCAGCAAAGTGGGAGATAATGAAAACTAAAACCCAGGCTCTTGTAAAACAGCACCAGCAGGACCAGGTGGACCAGCGGAAGGGAGAGCGGTGTTGAGACGGAAGAGGGAAGTGGTCTCAGAGTTGGGGGAGGTCGTTCTTCCTTTCTCAGCCTCTTAAGGCCTTGATGCTAAGACAAGAGGCCTGGTTTCAATGAGCTTCCGAGTTCTTTTCCCCTTTAACCTTCTACCAATCCCCCAGAAGAGAGGCTGGGCCTAGTAACAGAGGTCTTTCTAGGACACAGGAAAAACCAGCATTACTGGGACAGGTGATTTCTATTACCAACACCGGCTGGAAAAGAAACGATTGCTTCATGGGTGAGTGATACTTCTTGGTCTACCTCTCATTCAGCAACAGAAACATGGGCCGCGACAGAGGTCTTTTCTTCTTTCCAGTTTTAAAATACATTGAGGTGCATCCCCTTCCATGTACCATGGCTGGTTTGGCTGTAGAAATTGGAAGGTAAGGGCCACTTTCTTGGACTCTGCTGTTCTCTAGTTAAATCAGTATTTGGCAAATTGGTGGCACACTCCAGACCTTAGCTAGCTCTTGGAACTAGTCAGAGTGGTGGGATAAGGTGACCAGTGGTTCTCACACTGGGAGCTTTCTGAAGAACTGAACCCGGGGGTCTCCTCCCTGGAGATTTTAATTGGGCTGGATATGAGGACTTTTAAAAGCTCCCAGATGACTTTAATACATATCCACAGTTCAGAGTCACTGCTGCAACCCAACTTCTCAGACTGTGAGTCTTGTTAAAATGCAGATTCTGACGACCAGGTCTGGGCTGGGGCGGAGGTTCTGTGTCTGCACAACTGCCAGGTTCAAGTCTGCACTTGGAGCAGCAAGAACCTGACATCAGAGGTGTGCTTAGGAATGACCGGAGGCTCGAGTATGAATACAGATAGATAGGAACTTTAAGAGTATGCCAGCCCCAGTGAAAGATTTTCTAGCCATCAGACTAGAGATCTGCGGCAGCAGTAGAATGGAGAAGAGGACAAGACCACAAGGAACTGAAACCCATTTGCTAATAGAGAAAAGGGCAAGGAACAGCTCTTCATGGCAAAAGCTTCTACCACGAACATTTATTTTTGTTAAAGCAGATTATAAATTCTCATCAGTACAAATATATATATATAACTTACATTTGATTGTAAGGCCAACGTTCAAAAGTAAAAATGAGATGGGATCTTATGTCGTCACCAGAGGTCAAGTGGCTACAACTGGCAACAGGATGTTCGGCTCACCACAAGGAGAGGGATGGACACACACGCACGCACACACACGCAGTGCTAACAAGACTAGGACCTCCATCCCCACAAAACTCGTGGGAACAAAACTTAAAAGGACAAAACAAAACCCACCAAGACCTACAGGACAACACGGTAACCTGTGTTCCCGTCTCATGGATATGATTACATCAGTCACCTTAGTGTTAAAGGATTAACATAAACTGCAGCAGTATAGAAAAGAAAATACATTTTCTATTTAGATTGAACCCATTAAAATAATGACATTAGAATTTCATTACAGATGTAAAACCAGGACAATACTGCTTGCTCTTTATTTGAAACTACTACCAAGCTGACCATACTGGTCATAAGCGTGATTGTTGTTGCAGTGTGCTCCTTACAGTGAATGATAACAAGTGAGCTAGGGATCCCACCTGCAACTACCAGCCCTTCCTCTGTACTTCAGTAGGCATCAATGATAAATCAATCTTATGTACAATTTCTTACAGCTAACCCTTTTACCTTTGGCAAGATTACTTACAACTCATACAATTTTTTAATAGTGAGAACTATTTAAAATATTCTAAATGCATAAAAATAAAGATTTTGGCTTTTTGATATATATATTTATAATATTTATTCTTACTCAAAATGGAAGCTCAACTTTACCCCTAAAATACAGCTCTGCTGGGCAGCTCCTGACGGGCCCTGCTGGGAATTCTAGCAGCACAGCCTGACTCTCGTCCCCAGCCCCGGCACTGGCCTCCCTGTTCTCGATCTTTAAGAAGGCCAGTGCTGAAAGCAGGCAGGTGAAAGGCCTGAAAAACAAAAGGAGATCGTTTCGCTTCCCATTGTTTTATATTCCAGTAAATGTGCTTTGAATACAGATTCCTGTTCAGATACTTCTGCCTCTCTGTTGCCAGAGACTGGTAAGTGGCTGAGGGAGGAGGCAGGGCAGAGGATGACAGCTCCTTGACTTTCTTAGTCTAACTGCAAAACAGCTCTTCCCTAGGAATGGGTCTCTCCACTTTTTTCAATTGCCCACTTCCACATGCTATGCCTGGACATGCCCTTGGGGACCTTTGGATTAGTGAAAAGCATACAGGTTGGGAATGCAAAGTCCCCTTTTCTCCTCTGACCTCCACCCCCCACCTGGGCCTAAGTACAGACAAAACACATAAGCCCATAAGGCCTGCTTAAAGTTCAATTTCGAAAGTCTTCTGTAAATCACTGGAGAAAGGGTTGGTGGGGGACGGGTTAGTACGCTGCTTGGACTTGCTTTCCAAGGCCGCCCACTGGGCCTCGAAGGGATCCACTGTGCAGGTGCCTGCAGGAGCCTCGGTCTGCTTGTCTCCTGAGGCCAACCTGCCGTCGTCTGCACCATTGAGAGCTGCAGAACCGTTGAGGTGCTGAGCAGGAGGCTTAAAGAAGGGACTGGCAGTAGCGCTGCTTGTCTCGTACTGTGGGAATGTCTGCTGCTTGACCAGGCTGGGAGACTGATGGGGCTGGGCAGCCTGCGGGTGGCCTGCGGTGCCAAACACGTTGGCGACCATCTGGGAGGGAGTGATGCCCACCACAGGCACGTTAGGGGCTGGATAGGTCATCCCGTTAGCCACAGGATAGGACTGGGCAGGGACAAAGGCTGGCTGCAGGGGTGGGACCACACCCACTGGCACGGGCTGAGAGGTGAGGAATGCATTTCCTTGGAAAGGTGGCACTGGCTGGGAGATGGCAGTGGGTGGCGGCGGCTGGAGGACTGGCTGCAGAGGGGCAGCTGAAGCCTGGGGCTGCTGAGCCCGGACGCTCTTGGACACCTCCTCCAACCAGCGGTCGGCCTCGGAGGGAGTGCGTCTGTGACCAGCCTGGAAGAGACCTGGAGATACAGCACCAGAAGACTGACCCCACTCGGTCCCTGGAAGCACAAGAGGAAGAGAGGGAAGAATCAGAATCTTCAGGGGCTTTTTTCTTCACCTGATAATCTTGGTTATTTGAGTGATCGTAACGTGGAACAAGCCCCTCCAGGGGGATGGTCTGTGGTTTTGATAGGTGGGAGGAAAGTCTCTATTACCAGCTGAGAAGGTTTTGTGGGAGGACAGGGAGAACCCAGGAGACCTCAGCCTGTCTGTGGTCTACCTCAGCCATGTCGAGCTGCTAGAGATGGCTCAACTGCACAAAACCAAAGCTGCTGGCTGGCATCAGAACCCTGCCCCCACTGGTGTGGCTCATCTGTGGTCCAGAAACCAGCTTGCACATACTCTAAAGAGCCGAGGGGATTCACCTTCTGCTCTAACACAATGAGAAGAAAATAACCAGGGACTTGCTGCCCACCTTCCAAACACACGTCTCCCTGGTGAACTGCCTTTTTGTAGCCTTTTTTGTAGGCATGCTGTTGGAGGAGGCCGAGTTTTCTCTTCCTACAGGCATGTCCACAGACCCAGACCCAGACCCAGGCTCTTGCGAGGAAGGGCCCAGGAATCTTTGTCTTATTGAAAGCTCTGTGGGTGGCTCTAGGGTAACTATCAATCTAACCTCTAAGAGCTCCTCTCTGACACCATCCTTCCTTAATAGTAGTTTATTTCCAAAAGGGATCCCACTTTCCCTAAAAGGACTCCTTCCTGGTTGCCACTAAGGTAAATGGTTGATTTTCATATCAAGGTCACTTATCTGATCCCAGAATCCTCACCACCATCTGTGGTCACCTTACCCGAATGTGTGGTTGCAATTCCCTTGTTAGCAGCATCAGGGGCATAAGCCCAAGGGTTGGTTTCACGCACAGGCATTGCTACGGGTGCTAGAGCAGTAGGGGCTGGCTTAGCAGCAAGCACATGGAAGGCTGAGTCAGTGCCATTAGCTACAATGGGAGCAGACAACATTGATGGAGTTAATTCATGCAGGGTGTACAGGTGACCCCTTGGAGCTGGGTCAGTCAGGCCAATATGCAATACTGGTGGAAAGATAAGACAGAAAAGTTGGTGTGGGATAACCATGCCATCTGCAATGAATACACAAACCTTTTGGCAAAGACGGAATCAGGGGCTGTAATTAAAATGGGTGTACTGATAAAGTTAAATGACTCTTTTAGAAAAACATGTTTATGGAGAGAGAGGTAATGAAGACCAGAAAAACAATTTCAAATTAAGTTAAAAAGAACTACCTGTATTACAAGCAGCAAAAATCTATTCCAGACATAGCTTAGCCTTTGCAATAATGATAAAGTATCATCTATCACTATTTCAAAAGAGCAAATTATGCCAACAATGGTTAATACAATCATCCTTATTATGTGCTAGGCACTACTATAATAGTGCTTTAGTGTGCATCATCTCAATAAATTCTCTCAAAAACCTCATATTACAGTTGAGAAATCAAACGTGGTACATGTTTTCATTTGTTTAATTTATAATTTGCTACAGAATTAATTTCATCTTTTTAAAAGATTTTTTCCCCGTCAGTAATGTTTGTGTGTCTTAAGGCACTTCCTGTTTTTTCCTGTCTCCCTTCAGTAAAATCCAGCCCTTGCTCCTTTACTCTAGACGGCTGTCCCATCAGTTTCTACTCCTTTGTCCAGCTCTCTATACTGGGCAGAGAGCAGACAAGCAGGCACCTTCTCCTGCCTTACACCACAATCATTCTCTCTTTAGGTAGGACTTGGCAAACCATGCTTATGGCATTGGTGTTATTAACCCAGGGCTTGTCTAAAAGACTAGCTTATCCAAAAACTGTGAGTCCTCTAAAGGCAGGAAAAGGACTATATTCTATTTATAGTTTTGTATACCCACTACCCTGTAAATAGGCACAAAGTCAGCTGAATGTAATAGGAACTATATTCAGAAAGACTTGGGTTTACATCCTAGCTGTGTGATTTGGGCAATTTACTTAACCTTTCTAAGCCTAATTTTCCTTAGCTGTGATGCTTATCTCAAAGGACTATTGTAAGAATTAAATGAGATGAGGAAAATGCATGAGTCTTTACCATGATGTATGTGGCAGACATGGTGCTAAGTGCCCAATAAACATCCCTATTATTATTGGCAGTATAAATATCTGTTAGATGAAATGAAAAGCCACCTGATGCATATGAATATTAAGGGTTTTTTGGTTTTGTTTTTAAAGAGACTCCCTCCTGAAGGAAAATCATGTTGCAGCTTTTCAACAGGATCAGGCAAAAAAAGTCTGCATAGCAAAACAACTTCTGAGCTCTCTCCCAAAAGAAATAAAGATCAATTATATAAGCTCAAATTCTAAAATCTGTAATTTAAGTTATACAGGCTCATTGTTGACCTTTGAGTCAATACTATTAATTCAGTATCTCTGGAAACAACTTTTACTAGTTCTTCAATACCACAAAGACTAGTTTTAGGATACTCATTATAGAAGATGAGATGAACTGAAGAGCCGAGAGAGGTGCCTTTTTCTTTATGGGACTCTTGTGACCGGGCAAAGTCTAGGTGAGTCCAGTCTTGGCACCACTGATATTTTGGGCCTGATTATTCTCCGTTGTGAGGGTGGCTACTGTGTACATGGAAGGATGTTTACGGGCCTCCCTGGCCTCTACAGGGATGTCAGTAGTAACCACCCCCTGCCACACCGCAAAACCCAAAACATCTCCAGACAATGGGTGCTGAATTTTTCCCAAGGGGGCAAAATCACCCCAGCTTTCTTTACTGTAGTAAAGAAAGCATGAAGCTAGAACCAACTCTGATGTTGGGTGCTTTGTCTCTTAACAGGTAAGTAGCAAATAAAGCAGTGGGTTGGGACTACTGATGCTCCTGACAGGATGGAATGAAAGGAGGGTAGGTACGTGCAAAGTGCAGACAATCTCAGGAAACAGGAAGGGAATAAAGCGCAAAGACACTGTCGAATAGGGCAATTTAACGAATCTGAGACAATATCAAACAGGAAAATGCAGTGGGTCTGACCAGGTCTTGGGAAGCTCAGGATGCCAACTTACATTAGTGATCAGTGTCATAAAAGTCTTAGTTTCAAAGAGAACTGCTGAGCAGGCTAAGTGGGCACCAACCTTGAAAGGCAGGAGACTGTGGTGCCACCACCGTCATTGGTTTGGTCATCGGGGCGGATGAGAAGGGATCCTCGCACGGTGTGCTGAAGGCATTGGTGATCTGTGAACACAGGGAGCTGATACTCTCTGCTTCGCCTTCTACCTCTGGCACTGTAAGACAAACAGAAGACGGCTCCAGACAGAAACACGGAACAAGTCTGGAACAGAACAGTGTCACATGAGGTGGCATTTTACACTGCCTCTGTTATTTGTGGAAGAAAAAGACTCAACTGTCAGGAGGGGCTATAAAAGCAGCTTCAAAAAACTTACCACTTATTCACTGGCTTTTTGCATGAGAAGGTGCAGAATGGTAACAATTCCTGTACTAAAGTCTACCTCCCTCCCTTGCAAGTCCCCAGATTCCTGTATTTCCTCTCCTGTGTGACACTGTTGAGAATACGCTGTTCTTTTTTTGTGCCAAGACATTCAGTCAGTGAGATTTTTCTAAAAGACACATTCAACCTGTTTGTCTTCCAACCAGGTCCCAAGCCGGAGATGTGAGTTAAGTTCTAGAGGCCCCCAGTGACTCTTTTGAGAAAACGGGTTAAAGTCAGGAGCACCAGTCAGTGCACCAGAAAAGGGCACTCAGTCCTTTTCTCTGTCATAAACTATGACAGTGTCATCACTGTCATTTTTCTCCAAAGTGTTAACATGAAAAAGCGAACTGAGGTCCAGGACTCTAAAGGCTTTGTTCTTAATATTGACTCTGGAATACTTCTGTGTCACGGAGGAAGCTAATTATGTGTGTTGAACCTCTTGTCTGCTCAACTGTGAAAAGAGAATAATGGTTTTGTTTCCCGCCTGCTCCAGAGGGAGATTGAAAATGAGGTACTTGAAAGCATCTGGAGTTTTGGTTTTTATAGGAGTTGAGAGGGGGTAAGACCCTCAGTAATGATCTAGTTTAACTGTTCTTTAGGCAGAGTTTTATCCATCAAAGAACTTAAATCTCTGTGCTTTTGTGCCACCAGCAGTGAGAGTGCCCTATTGAGACACAGCTTCCTCAGATTCTGTTATAGCACTGGCTCAACATATCTGAGAGCAAAGTAAAATAGGGCCCAATAAAAGCACTGACCAGATCTGACACTGCAGCTCCGGATCTTATGATGAGGATAGAGCTACTGGAGCTGTCTCAGCTGTACAGAGGCCACACAAAGGCCTGTGTGACAGCTCTGAAAGGTAATGAATATGTGTGAGCAATCTCACTGTCTCTGATGAACAACAGATCTTAGATTTATACTGGAGACCCATTTAGTGTTTCCTCCCTATGGAGCCAACCAGCCACAAGGACAAAGAGAACTTATCCATTTCTTCTGGTACATCTGACAGTGGTGCTATTTAAACTGGATGTGTTTCCAAAGCCTTTTAAATTAATTCCCTGCTGGGTCCCAAATGGCAGAATAAGGAGGGAAACCTGAGACCCTTGATGTCTGAAAGCAGGTACACTTTCATCAGGACAAATCACAAACCGTGTAGCTCGGACTAGGAATTCCCATCGTGGCTCTGTTAACCTACTGCTGCACAGAAATGAACAACTCCCATCTCTCTCCGTGAACCTCCATTTTCTGCCAATGGGAAATATGCACAGCCACCAAATAGCCTCAGAAGAGGGGTGGCTAGTTTGATGGGATCAGGGACTCCACTGGAGGTGATGTGACACTTCAGTGCCTGAGCCCTGGGGAGTCGGAGACGCCACGTTACCTGTGTGTTTTATGGGGAAATCGGTCTTCCTCTGCATAGTGGAAGGCAACTCGTTGATGCGCAGGGACAGTTGGCGTTTAAAGGGTGACATCTTCTGGCTAAGAGCAGGAAATCCTCGGAAAGAGCCTTGGCGAGCAAGCTGTTCAATTGGTGCGTGCCGGCGTGGGATGGCATGAGGATTGTTCATCTCCAGAGAGGCAGTGGCATCCAGAGGGGGAGAGGTGGGAGGGGATGGAGAGGTGGCAGTGTTGCCAGGGGCCACTGAACCAACAGCTGTCTTATCTGTATCAGCTCAAGAAAGGAGGAGAACGAGGACCTTAGGGCAGTGTCTTCTAATAATCTGAGCTCACACCACTGAGGAACCCCAAAAACCTCCTAGGTCATTTTACCCATCTACTTCCCTATATATCTCAAAAGACAGGTTAGCAGCAGGGCTCAGATCTCCTGTTTTTCAGATAAGTAAAAGGTTTAATAATCTAATACATGTCACATGGTATATCTTCTAAAACACAAATATTAGATCTTTTATTCCCATGTAGTAATTAAAACACTGAACAAAACTAAACAAAACAAAAAACCCCAGTACCTATGAACTCTTAATGTGAGGTCTTTTAAAGAACAATAGTGCATAGTTTTCAATATTTGTTTGCTTTTTGGCCAGTGGGGGTTGGGGTGGGGGGGATAGAGGACTTTAGGAGTGGCAGAGTCAGAAGGGTCTAAACAAGCTTAAGTGTGATTAGATGTTAAAGACTGACATAAAGCAGACATGGACAACAGGCTCTTTTGAATAAAAGCATACAGAAGTCAAATTTTAAATTGGAGTAAACAAATACAAGACTGTTTCCATGTGAATACCTGCCATATCACACTCTCATTGCGGTCAATCTCTACCCCCCCCCCCCCCCCCCCACTCCTCACTATCCTCTGTAGATGCTAGGACTCAATCTATCTTGGCAGTTGATGTATGTAGCAAAAAGTATTATTTGGTGGTATCAAAAAATATGCTTCTGGTCTGAAAATCACTGAAGCACATTAAATAACAGCTATACACATTCATTTGTCTAATTAAAATAGCACTATGTTTTTTTTATTCTTTGGTATCCTGGCACAAATGTTGATAAGAAATGAAAAAATCATAATCAATAATTACAAATAAAAACATATATTCTTTTTTTGGCTTAAAAATTAAGAGCTGTTTGGGTATTAATGTGTGCATGCTAACTCGCTTCAGTCATGTCTGACTCTTTGTGATCCCATGGACTGTAGCCTGCCAAGCTCCTCTGTTCATGGGATTCTCCAGGCAAGAATACTGGAGTGGGTTGCCATGCCCTCCTCCAGGGGATCTTCCTGACCCAGGGATCAAACCCTTGTCTCTTAAAGCTCCTGCATTGGGAGGCGAGTTCTATACCACTAGTGCCACCTGGGAAGCTGATGTTACCTAAAATGGCAGGTTTAGAATTAAAAGAAAATAGTAAAAAATTAGCAAAATTTTATTAATGTATATTTAAACCATACTTTTTAATTTCAAAATACTCCTTGTTTTGGGTTTCAGCCCAAGTTGTACACAAGAATGCAAAGCATTTTTTCCCTAAGTCCTATGACTCAGTTCTAAAATACACTGGACTCAACTTCAGACAACAGCCTCCTGAGTAACTAGAATGTTTGGACAGGCATTTTTGCTATGCTGCCAAGTGTACCTTAAAAAAACTCACATTCTGCAAAACCACACACTAAAATTAATGGGGCTATGGAAAAAATAGCTAGGGGCCAACTTCTCAAAATCTGTGGCCTTTTTTCATGAAAGCACTAAACAGTTATAATCTAATAAGAGTATCACTGAGATGTCTCTGCCTGCATTTCCACCTGGCATCACCATCTGTGGGTCCTTTGCAGGCTAAACCTGGGACTTGTGCTTCCTTCAGGATGTAGGTCCTTGATAGCATTTGCTTTTCATAGAGATCAAATGTTTTTCATAGAGATCAATTTAAATCAGAATTAAAAAAAAAATTTTTGTTCCAGGATACAGGTTTTCCCAATTTTGCTTTTAAATGTCTTTGCAGCTTCTTCAACTGTACTCTCAGCTTCCCCAAGTAGTTAAAATGAATGCATAGAGTAAATACTCGGAAGCCACTAAACAAGCCCCTCTGTTTAGATTTTCAGCTTTGTTCTTAAGGTCTTCATATACTGCTAAGAGTTCTCTATGCCCCTGACAGCTTCCAAATATTAACCTGTTGGGAAAAGCTGTTTAAACACACATTGTAGTAGAACAGATTGTACCTTTCTTGGCATCCTGGATTTGTTTCATAATCTCCTCTCTTTCCGCTTGCTCGGTGGCTGTGGTGACACGGAATGATCCTTCTCTCGTGAAAGTGGTCCGACTGGCATCAAAAGTAGCAGTCACTCCACATTCCTTCTCCCGCTTCTGCTTACGTTCTAAACAGGCGGCAAAGGCACAGCCTACAGCATGGCTCAGTCTTTCACCCTGTACATAACAGAAGGTTTAAAAAACATTTTTAGAGTTATGGTATCAACAACTACAAATTAGCTGGACCACGAATAAGTCTGTTTTCACACAGGCAAAATGTTAGGAACTCCAGCTTACCAGATTTTAGTGTATTACTATGCCAAATGAACCTAAATGAATAATACCTTAGGTAATGCTATGATCCTCTACCACAGTGGGCACTGGGTAAAGTGACCACTGGTAACCTGGGCCCTGTCAGCAGCCACCGAAACTTTCTCATTAATCATAGTCAGGTCCCTGTCACTTGTGTCAGCTCTGGCCGTCAGCTGAGAAGACACTGCTCAAAGTTCCAGGTCCTAAGTCTTGACACCCAAACCTCTGTTTGCCATGCAGGGGAATAACAGGAATATTTACCATGCTTTTCTAAGCAACAACTGGAAAGACAGGGCAAATTTCAGAGCTTAAATTTACTGCCAATATGTCTAGGAACAAAAGGAACAGACTTAAAACGTCAGATAAATCATCTCCAGCAACGAGAAGGAATCAGGCACAGGAAAGCTAAGCTTTCTCCCTCTCCCTTTCTGAATGCTCTCCTCTGCCCTGTTCAGGCCCTCAGTGCTTACAGGCTCTCTCCCACATCACCCCTATTTTTTTTAGCTCTCTCAAACCCCAACTCTACCTTCCAACCACACACAGGTAAAAATAAAACCATGTTTTCAGCCACATTTTCTACTTGTAAAGGAATTAAACAGATAAACCTGAATTTTTGGTGTGTGAGAGGAGAGGAAGGTTTGTGTAAACTAAATACTATTTTAAAGATACACTGGATTATCTAGAGTTAATTTAATAAATTCAATGGATTCTTTTTTTTTTTTAAATCAGGGTTATCTGTATTTTAAATACTATCCCTAATTTATTGTGGAATAAAAGGGTTAGAGGTGATACAATAACTGCTGGCATCTTTTAACAGTGAGGAGAGATATCTGAGAACAGGGAACCTTCTGCGGAGTTTCCAAGATCATACCATGTAAGCAGCTGCTCCTACATATGGCTCTGAGTAAGTATTTTCACTGCATTTTATATGCCAATATCAGATATCATAAGGAGAGGTAAATGTGTGAGACGCTTTTGTCCCTAGGATTTCACATGATGGAAAACCATCAAGTCTCATTTACAGACTGACAGACTCATTCTTTGTGAATCCACATGAGTTTCCATGTAACTTCTTAGCAGGATGATAAATGGGTAGGCATGGAAGCATGAAATAGGAGAGAGCAGAATTTTAGAACCCATCTGCATTTGAGCACAGCTCTAGTACAAGGACAGAGCTATCGGCCAAAGCAGCTTACTATTTCTGCTAGGCCTTATGGCAGAAGTTCCTGAAGACAGACTGAACCTCAAACTCCATCCCAGATTCACTGAGGAAAAACTCTGGGGTGGGCCCCAGCCATCTAACTTCATGAGCTGTCCAGGTGATTCTGATACAGAAGAATCACTGTTTGATACCAGAGTCAAACAGCCTGAGGACTATGATTTGTCAACAGAATGGTTTTAAAATACAGCAAAACTCTTCTGATTTTACAAGTGCAGTGATAGCAAAATACACTGCTTTGTGACTTACGGTCTGAGAGAGGAAGGAAGTGTAGTTTAGTTACTTCACCCCATTTTTCAAGCACTTGTGTCAAATCGAGGAGGAGCAGCTTTAACAACATCAGCCACCACTTTGGAGCAGTTAGCATGAGCCAGGTCCTATGCTAAGAGTGCCTACACTTGCTACCTAATTTAGTCTTCACAGCTGTTATCTCCATCTTATAGAAGTGGATGCCAACACTTAGAAAATGTTGAATAACCTGCTCAAATCCCATGGCTAATAAGAACCAGAAACAGGACTGGAACCTATATCTGATTCGGAGCCTCAGTTTCTAATACTTGTTTTTACAACTGCTTTTTAAAAAGCTTTTGGTCAATATTAGAGTATGACCACGACTTCCCTTCTAGGTTAAACCTTGGCAAGAGTTCACTGAGTTGTAGCCTTTATGAATAGCTACACTGCCTTACTCTGTCTGGACTTTTAAAAACTCAGAAATTACATACTCAATGCTATACTATAATTAAGTTCATCACCTAAGAGACTCATTTTTCATATCAGAATTTTGGGTAATTTAGATGAAAGATAACAAATTTGATTATTCTCTACTTTTAAACAAAACCAAAAATTTCTACTATGTAACAATTTCTAGCACAGCTCACTGTACCATAATTTAGTATTTCTTTTTTTCTTTTTAATTAAAAATATACTCCAAACTCAGTTCTTGTGGTAGAGTCTTTTTGCAAATAAATTCATAAGCATCTTTCAAATACCAATATCTTCTACCCAGACAAATTAGCAAATACATGTAAGGATCTTGAAAACAGTTCTAATAATGAAAAGTTTTCTGTAAAGTTTAGCAGTCACCATCACCAGAGCACTTTTACTTTCCTTTAATGATCTTGGATCTCAGCCAATCATCTTGTTCTGTGAGTGGTAGGGTTACATCAAGAGTGTGAACTACTTGAATAAAAGGAGTGAAAGCAGGCTCGTTTAGGCGCTTACAAGTACTGTAACAGCCTACACTTGTCAAAAATGTAGTGGAAACTGGCTGAGCCAACCTGGAAGAAGCTTGGTGACTGAGGCTAGTCATGATGCAATTCAGGCTACTGCACTCACCGTGTCCTTGACGGCCATGAAGCAGTGACAGATCCAGCGCCGAGTGGTGCCATCACGACATATGTAAGAGAAGGCCCTATCAAAGTTCCTATCTGGGGCACAGAAAGAAACTTTTTCTATTGTCTGGTCAACTATGAGGTCCTAGAAAAAGGGAAACACAAAGGAACAGTGGACTTTAGAGTTCAATCAAGTTTCTCAGAAGAAACACAGGATGTTCATTTCACAACACAGAATCCCTACATCTAATGCATCAGGGCTGCGGAAGAGCTTAATCTGAGCCAGAAGTCGGAATACTAAGGATCTGACCTAGAAGAGATCCCCAGAGGCACTCTCCACAGATGTTTCTTTCCTTCACTTCATCTTCATGTTCTATAATACACATGCTTGCTGATTCTAGTTTTACGATGGTAAATTCCATGTTCAATTTTATAGTATATGTCAAACAATAAATTTAATCCAATCCCCATATAACTTACATTCAATAACATCATTTCCAGACAATTCTATGTATTTATTAACTTATCATTTAATTTTGAATACTGCTGAATGGCACAGTATATATATAATGTAAACATCATGCAAAATGTCTTTTTTTTTTTTTTAAATATTGAGGCTCTCTGGCACTTCTGTGTGATATTCCAATGGCCTAAAATCCCTAGATGCTGAGGTGGTGGCTGGAAGTGCTGAAGCATACAAACAAAATGACTTTTATAAAGCATAACTATGAGAATTCCTGTTGTTACACAAACAAACTTGCCAATCATCTAAAAGTTCTGCAATTTTGTTGGCTCATTCTAATTTTATTTTGCATAACCTTGATTACTATGCATTTCCTCTTCAGTATCTCTTGCTATGCAGGAGTTACTGATACAGTCTAAGCACGAGCCCTTTATCAATCATTCGCATTTTTGCAACATTTCTTCTCTGCCCAAGATGGGTCCCACAGTAACAAGTGGTCCATTCCTATTATCATTCAATGTGGGGAGAATTAATTAATTCCTGTGCTACAAGTAACCACCAGGGGGCAACATCACTTTCTAGTAATAACTACTATGTACAGCAATTAAAGATATAGCCTCCACACAACAAATTTCATCCAAAGCAGGAATGAAAACTAGACACGTTTTTTAAAAAAAGCTAAATAATAGTTGTTTCCAAATGTAATGTACATCTAAGACCACCAGTTCTCTTTAGTCAAAAGAATTAAAATGTAGCTAAATTAAATCACTTAAAGTATATCAGGTAAGCTACCCATGAAAACTGTTCTTTGCCTGCTAGGCTTTCTTCTCCTTCAGGTGACATCTGAGTTTTTGTTTTTTGAAAACTGCCTTCTGTTAAAATTTCTCCAGATTTCAGGTCTCTTAGAAAGTTTTAATTAATGATTAAATGTATGTGTATAAGTAACACCTTATGCTAAGGGCAGAGTCTATGTCTATTCTTATTGAGGTACTTAGGATCATTTTTTTCTAATGCAAAATGCTATGTATATTTAAGATATTGTGTGGACTCTTAAATAAATGTTAACTCATGAGCAATTTACTAGTCCTTAAGATTTCACTTAAATTGAGTCTTCAGTTAAATAGTAGGTTAATGAGTTCAAATATAACTTACTAAAAATAGTGTTTTATTAAGGAACAAGAAGCAACTTTAGATGTGGTCTATTTTTCTTTTTAACAGTGGCAAAAGGCCTATAATATTTTATATCAAATTTGTGGGGGTAAACTTTTTTTAATGTGTCAAAACAAAAATAGAACTCAGATCTTAACATTAAATGCAAATACACTGTAGGCTAAACATGCTATATCATGTAGAACAAAATGCTCAGAGAATTCTATTTTTCATAAGGTAAATGAGTAACTAAATTGGTTTTCTGAACATTAACCAGTCTCTCAGAAGATTGTACTTTGGACAAAGTGGAAGGATACAGAGAGACAACAACGTCTTAACAGCATTATGTTTGATCACAGGGATAAAAAAACATAAGAGCAGTAACATTTAAGCTTATCAAACTTTTACCTTAGTTTTTTCATCCACAACTCTGAGTCCATCTGCTGATACCCACAGGACTGCCTTAACTGCTTTCTTTCCAGTCTTTTAAGAGAAACCAAAAAAGAAGGGGGTGGGGGGAGAGACACACACATATATAATATTAAAAAAAAAAAGGTCATATTCCATAGAAAACACTGACTTCTGCCTTCCATAAGTCACAAGTACAGATGGAGTCCAAGGTTCAGGAGGGGTGCCCAAAGCCAGATACTCAAATCAAACTGCAGAAACATTCAAGAAAAAACAAGCCAAAGCCATTATTTTAGAAACACAAAGCAAAACAATAAGGTAAAATTAAGTAAAGGGTAAGGAGGACAAATGGAATAAAAACCAAGATATCACATTCCGTAAAGGGCAAAGAATAAGTAGATTCTTCACCCATTTCAAAACTCAACCACAAAAACCAAGAGTTAGATAAATATTAAATACATAAGGAGTTACACCACAAGTAGCTTCTACGAGTGTATTCAGAGTAGAAAGTAATAGGTAAGTCTAAATTGAGATGCTGACCATTCTACTATACTTTGACCCCAATGTGTATGGCAGTGCCCTTGGTCACCTGAAATTTTCATATTAAAAACCCAAGAAATCTTCATGATTCCTTTAGCAATCTTTAAAAAGCATTACTTATTCTCTCAGGATTAACACAGAACTGCTTTAGTTTTTAATTTGATGTTAAATGCAGACAGACATTTTGGGGACATAGGAGGATTAAAAAACTTGGAAAAATATTGTCATTATAACGTAAATTCCTTTTGCTGGCTGAGAAAAGGCTTTGACGCAAGTCACATGAGAACAAGCTGATGAATGATTTCTCCTGTGATGGAATGAAAATGGGACAGGGGAGTTTGTAATAGCAATTTAGCAGCTTCCTTTCTTTTTACCTGCTCCAAGGATACAAACAAAATAAACGCAAAGTGAAGGCTCAGAATAGGTATCAAAACATCATAAGAAAGTATAGATCAAAAGAAATCTGGTACTACTCTGGGAGGGACAAAGGAGGATAAAGAAATGTCTACCGTTCTCCACTTTACATGTCCAAGCCCAGCACTCCTCAATAAAGCATGGCCTTATTTAAGTGAAATGTGTAATCCACTCTGGGCTCCATCTCCACCATCACCTCAAATCTGATGAAAGCCTATTGCATGCCAGGCAATAGAAATACTTGAGTTCACAGTCCATTGAAAGGTGACACTCAAATAAAAAATAAATAATACAGTAGTAAGTGCTACAGCTTCCTTGGTGGCTCAGACAGTAGAGAATCTGCCTGCAATGCAGAAGACCTGGGCTCAGTCCCTGGGTTGGAAAGATGCCCTGGAGAAGGAAATGGCTACCCACTCCAGTATTCTTGCCTGGGAAATCCCAAGGACCAAGAAGCCTGGCGGGCTATAGTCCATGGGGCCACAAAGAGTCAGACACGACTGAGTGATTAATGCTTTCAAGTGCTATAGTAGAGCTGAAAACAGTTTGTAACAATGTCAGAAAGAATGCATGGTCAAATCTATTTATGGAATTAGGGGAAGGCTTTTTAAAATTGAAGACTGAATTGGGTACTAAAATAATTTTTCTAGATGCCCCAGGTAGGGGTAGGAATGTAGGGAAGTAACAGAGGTAGCAGACATCCCAGGCAGAAGAAACAGCAGTACAGGACATGGAAGCAAACAACAGAGCAAATCTGGGCCCTATAAACATTTCAGTGCGGCCTGAAAGTGGTGAGGCACAGTGGGATATAAACAGCAGGAAAGACCTAGACATGGAGGACTCTGTATGCCTGCTGAAGAATTCTATCTTAATTCTATGAGCAATTAGGAGCTTCTAAAAGAATTTTGAACATGATTAAACAGATTTGCATTTTTAAAATATCACTTTGGCAGCACTGTAGAGGAGTTGGAAAGAGACTGCTAAGAGGTAGAAAGACCAAAACAAGATTCCAGGTGAGAGAAAATGAGGGTTGAGCTCTCTTGGGTGAGATACAGGGCTGGAGATGAGAAGTCTGAAATGGTGAATATAGGAGAAATGTTAGACACCCCTCTCTGGTTCCTGGCTTGGGTAACTGGGTGGAGAGGGTACCACAAACTAAGAAAATAGAAGAGATGCAGAAGCAAGTTTGAGAGGGGGACCCTAAGATTCCAGTTTTAGACAAGCAATCTTTGAGATGTGTGTGCAACATCCAGGCAATTGGATATACAGATCTAAATTCGGAAGAGAAGTCTTTAAGATGGAATTTTAGTTTTGGAAAACATCAATTGTGGGAGCAGTATGAGGGCCAAGGATAGGAGAGAATATCAATAATTAAGGAATTGGGAGACAAGTAATGAAATATCAGAAAAGGAATAGTGAGGAGAATGAAGAGAGATTAGCATAATTGAAACCAATGGAGGGGAGTTTCAAGAAGTAATTTGTGGTCCAAAATGTCAAATGTAAAATGACCAAGGAAGGAAAGATGTGAAAAATGTCCATTGGATTTAGTGATGAGTAAGACACCACAGAGTGATAGAGGTTGAGATGGTGGGTTATTTTTATGTGTCAGATTATCTAGGTTATGGTTGCCCAGTTTGATCAAACACTAGCCTACATGTTACTATAGAGGTATTTTGCAGATGTGATTAACATTTACAATCAACTAACTTTAGGTGAGGATTTCCCAGGTGGCTCAGTGGTTAAGAATCCTCCTGCCAAGCAGGAGACACAGGTGTGATCCCTGGGTTGGGAAGACCCCCTGGAGAAGGAAATGGCAACCCACTCCAGTATTCTCACCTGGGAAATCACATGGACAGAGGAGTGTGGCGGGCTACAGTCCATGGGGTCACAAGGAGTTGGGCATGACTTAGTGACTGGACAGCAGCAGCAACTCTAGGTAAACGAGATAACCCTACCCTTGATAATGGGGGTGGGCCTCATCCAGCCAGCTGAAGGCCATAAGGGTAAAGCCTGAGGTTTCCCTGAGAAGAAATTCTGCCTGAATTTCCAGCCTACTGGTCCGTGTGTATATACAGAGAGAGCGAGACAGACAGAGGAGGAAGGGAGAGAGAGACAGATGGTGGTTCTGCTTCTCTGGAGGATCTAATCAAGTGGAAGTCAGACTAGACTCGGTTGAGACGTAAATGAAAGGCAAGAAGAGTCTACATATGTTACATACTTTCTTTAAAAAGCTTTCCTACAAAAACGAGCTGTACAGCAACAGGGGACGGGCAGAGGACCAAGGGAGGTCCTTTAAAAACTGTGGTAAACTTACGTGCTATACTAGAAACAGAATGGATTCTGGAGTAAGACAGATACAAATCTGAATTCAATGCCACTATTCATAAGCTAAGGAAGTTACAGAGTCGTCTGAGTTTCTACTTCCTCATCTGTAAAGGATCTGTGAGGTTGGTAAAAGGACCAGAGATATATAAAGCACCTGGAATTTAAATAGGGCAATAAACAATTAGTGTTCATTTATCGTTACATTAATAAACTTAAAAATTTCTCCCAACAACAAAGCTTCTTCAAAGAGTAAGACACACTTTCAACAACAACGACAACAGATAATGCTTATTTGCTGAATGACAAAAGTCAGTGGAAAGATGGAGACTAAAGCCCCAAGAGAAGACTAATGTAGAGAACAAAGTCCCCAAGGAGGCGAAATAGGATGAAGCCAGAACACAAATTTTAGATGGGAAGGGGAATGTCCCTTCCTTGAAACAGAGGGATGAAGTGAAGCTGAGTAAAGGAGTGAGTGACAAGTTGAGGAAGTTCACTTCAAAAAGCCACAAATTCATCTGTTCAGGAGATGAGATGATCTACTTTGCTAGGGAGAGAAAGGTAGGCAGATTTAAAAGCATAAAGACTTAAAATAGCAGTGTTGGGGCAGTACAGTACAACGACTCAGCACAGACTCTGGAACCAGGCTGTCGTCTGAGTGTGAATTGTGGGTCTGCCACTTATTAGTATGACCAACGGCAAATTACTTTACCTCTCTATGCTCCAGATTCCACATCTGCATAACGATGTCAGCAATGTCACATACCTCATGGGGTTATGATGAGGATTCAATAAACAAACAGATATACCCAACAACAACTATAACTGCCCATAGTTAACCAATGCTTAGGTAGTATTTAGTATTTTGCTGGAAGGTAAGCTCCACGAAGGCAAGGTTTTTTTCCTTATTGTTCACTGCTGTATCTTTAGAACTTAGAACAATGCCTGGTACAGAGCAGGAGTTTAAGAAATATTTGTTGAAGGAATAAATTTGCTAAATATCTGCTATAGGAAAGAGGAGACAGTTAAATCAGTGATATATAAGGCTGCCAAATGGTACTGAGAATCCTGTGTAAGAAATTTGAATCTGTAATTTATTCAATATGTTCATTGTGCAACGCTAGCCTACAGTCTGCAGCATCTGATGCAACAGACAGAACTACTTCAATGTTGGGAGACTGAAGGTGGGAAAACTAAAAGATCATTTTAGAATGGGACTGCTCCCTATTTAACCTCCTTATCATACACAGGGAAATATTTTCTCGGCCCAATTAGACTTCTATGAAAATATCTCTGCTTTTTGAGGTATGTCTTTATAATAATCTTTATGGTGTTGTACTAAATTTATCAGTGAAGCATTGTATTTGTCATATTTCATTGTTACTGACCACTTGAAACAGGGGATGAAAACAGATAATATGAATTTTTCCACTTGTTCATACATTTGAGTGCCAGTTCTTGAATGCCAGTAGTTTGCCACATTACGATTACTTCAATAAGGGATTGAGATATTAACAATCAAAGACACATCTGCAGCTGAAATTAAGTCCAAACTTCCTCTCACAAATTCTATAGCAGCAGTGCTTCTAAACTATCCGTCAACTTTTTAGAGTTTTTCATTCTGATAACATAAACTAAGATTCCTAATCACTTTGTAGAAAATGATAAAAGTCATAGAGAGAATATGAAAGTTTTCCTTTTGTATGCCCTGAAACTGTCTACTTAAGCAAATTACCTTAGGAGATAAGGTTAAAGTTAGCTAACCACAGGACTAAAAAAAGAGATAACCCAGAATAAGTATGAAATGTAGAATATACATATATCTTTGTTACATAAACAACCTGTAAAAAGACTATATAATACTTCAGACACTAGTAAAAATGTGATAGGGGTAATGTATATGTGAGAATTAAGAATTATTTCATCACCATGGTGCCAGTGCTTTCTATTTTAATAATAATTTCAAGGCAATAGGTAGAATTCACACTGACTAGTATCAGTGCATAAAAAATTACAATTTTATAACAAAGAGAAAGCTGCTTATTATTAAAGGAAAGAAAATGGGTCTAATATGAACAGAACTTCAGTAACTGAGAATTTAAATTGGTGAAATCTAAGAAGGATCAGGCTATCCTATGAGTGAAAAATGTCAAATTAAGTATAATTTTCAAGTAACCACTCAACTCTCTAAATATCCAATTTAGAATTTTAAAACTAACATTTCCCTTAAACACCTTTTATTATGGGTAGATACAAACCAGTACAGAAATTAAGCAGCCTCTGACATTGGAGAAAAGGATAGCAGGAAATCAGTTGATTACAAATTACTAAGTCAGGAAACTTGTACTTGCAAGTAACAGAAATGCACAAGTAATCTTAACATAAAATACTAGTGAAGAAACACAAATCTTACACTGTAAGATCATTTTCTCCTAAATATCAAAGCTACTCATAATAAAGGGCAATGAAATAACTAATTACAATAAAGAACTGCCATACCTACTTATGTCCAGCTGTTTTTTTTTTTTTAATCGATAAAGCGTCAGAAAGTTTTTTTCAAAGATGGAGATCGTAAGGTGGTAGGGTTCTCAGGATGTTGACAGATCCTTACAGTCACTCTTTTGTTATACATATTGTTATTTGGGGAAGTACTTCAGATTTCTAGTTGGAGAATTAAGTTTCTAAACTGTTCAAAGCACAGATTAGGGAACTTTCTGTGAAGGACCAGATACCAAATAGCTATGGCTTTGTAAGCCACATAGTCTGTGTCAACTACTCAAGTCTGCCTTGCTGCACAAAAGCAGCCAGACAATATGTAAACAAATGGACATGGATTTGTAACAATACAACTTTATAAAAGGGTTTTGGAAGGACAATTCATTATACTGAAATATTAGATCTATTTGGAATTGCCCCTGAATTTTTTTTTTCTATTTTTTAAAACAAATGTCCTTATATCCCACTAGTTTATTATATTATAGTATAATATATAATATTATATATATATTATTATATTATTATTAACTGAGACTTGAACTCAGGTGCAGTCCAACTGTAAAGTTCTGTGATTCCCAAGGCCACCAATGAGATAAAAACATGCAATTAATCAACATAAATAGAAGTAATATTGGGGGCAAAACAATTGTGCTGGGAATACAGTAAGAGCAAAAGGTGTTCTAATGTAAGCCAAAGCAAAGGAATGCTACAGACACATAGAAGCATAATTTGGCTTAGCTATGAAATGTTAAGAAGCAACAGCAGCAAACAAGACCAATTTGGGCAGGAAGATTAGAGCAAGTCACTCTTTCTGAGCAACAGTGTTTTGCCATTCTGTTGTGCAGAGCTCTTTCTGCTACACACCAAAGAGGTCTTCAAGGGTACCCAGTGTGTAAAGAATCTCTGGTCAGTCTTTCTGCCACACCTACACACAGAGATAACCCAGTCATTATGGTGTAATAACATATTAGCAAGCAACCATGGCACAGAGTGCCTTGTAATGAGTGAACAAGAAGACTTCTTTTTAAAAAAAATCTGAGAAGGGCCTTCAAATCTATTAGATGACATCTGAATTTCTGAACAGACTGTGTCGTGAACAAATTTTGTCTTAAAATTCCAAGATACAGTATGTATCTTCAAAGGAAAGAGCACTGAAGAGAAACACAACTTTCTATAGAATTTGAGACTGGTACTATCTCCAATGGCTACTTTATTAAAAGTACAGTAACTTTTATCTTGCACTTTCTTAAGTGAGAAGGGCCTTTAAAGGCTTTCAGGAAAAAATAAGGATGATAGCATGTCATGAACCAAACAACAAAACTGAGATTTTTTGAGGCAATTGAGCTCTTCCAGTATACTGAATCACTTTTTGATGGGAAGAAGGAACCTAGAACAGAAATTATTCTAATATTGTTCATATTTCAAACATATAATAGAAAAAGAAATTCCACAGAGACCTAAAATTCAACCTGTCTGAAACCAAATTCATTATACCTCTTCTCACAGTGAAAGACCCCCCACCACCATGGTCGTCTTTACCATAAACTTAGGTCTTACCTTCTGTCTCCTTTCGTGTATCCCTAGGGTGAATGAATGAAGGAATAATTTGGAGCAGGTTCTCTTCATCCCAGTAGCTCTGTTAATGATGCTCCTTCTATGCCTTTCTCCTCTTAGTTTAACTGGAACTCACAGTCTTAAGTCTCAGCCTTAAGTATCATCTCCTCTCAGAAGCCTTAAACGCAATCTCTTGCATTCATTCTCCCTCTCTGCTCCAGTAGAACTTGTTATTGTTCCACAATTTGCTGACTGTGTTTAACCTGTCTGGTTTTACTACAGGGAGAACTTGCAAGGAGTGCACTTGTCATTCACTAGCTCAGACATTTAGGAGCAGCCATTATGGACCACATACTATTCTAGGTATTAAAGATTCAGCAGTGAACAAAACAGGTCTGTCCACAGAAAGTTTACGTTTTAGTGAAGAAGAAATAAAAAACCAAATTAGTAAAATGCATGAGTTTGAGTAAGCTCCGGGAGTTGGTGATGGACAGGGAAGGCTGGTGTGCTGCAGTCCATGGGGTCGCAAAGAGTCGGACACAACTGAGAGACTGAACTGAACTGATGCTACGACAGATGGTGATAACTTCTATCAGAGGAAAATAAAACTAGGAAGGGGAACCGTGAGTGTTTATATATGGAAGAAGGTGGTATTTGAAATTTAAAATAAAGTTTTCTTGGTGACTGCCTCAATGAAAATGGGGCTTTTAAGCAAAGAATGGGAAGAGATGAGGAAGTGAGCCACACACCTGTCTGGATGATGAGTGTTCCAGACTAGAGGTTACAGAGCAAGTGCAAAGGTCCTGAAGTGGAAGCAGACCTGGTATGCTCAAGGGAGAGCAGGGAGGCTAGTGTGGCTGAAACAGAAGAAGCAAGAACAGGAGATGACAGGAAAAGGGACAGAGGGGATTCATGCACAACGGCCCACTAGGCCCAAAAGACTTTGGTTTTTACTCTGGGTAGGTCAGGAAGCTACTGGAGGATCAAGCGCTGTAGGGAAACAATCAGATCTGTCTTAAAAAGATCACTCTGATATCTTGAGAACAGATGACAGGGGGATAATGATGAAAGCAGACTGAGTAGAACATTAAAGCAATGATTCAGGTGAGCAGAGGAGCTGGCATGACCAGGGTAGTGGTGGAGGTAGTCAGACGGGAACTGTTGACAGGATGATATAAGGTAAAAGAAAGAGAGAAGTCAAGATCAGATCCAGGATTTGTGGCTAAAGCACAGGGACTGGATGGGAAAGACTAGGGAAGAGTAGTCTGGGGGAGAGTTTTGGAATTTGGTTTGTGACACATTATGTGAAATGCCTTAGGGTGAAATGTTTGATGCTAATGATACTGACACTTGTTCATACAGCAAGCTATTCTGTACACTTTGCTTGTATTTACTAAATTAATCTTCAGAACAATCACATGAAGTTGGAATTAGTATTATCCCCCCCCTCTTTTTTTTGGTAACAGATGGGGAAGCTGAGGTACAAAATGGTTAAAAACATCTCCCAAGGTCACAAAACTAATAAGCAGCTGAGCCAGAATTAAATACAAGCAATCCAGATCCCAAGTCTGTCTTTGACTCCTATGCTATGCTGTTTCTAAGATGGAAATACCACTCTGGAATTTATGGGAGATGTCTGGAGATAGAAACTTCAAAATCATCAGCATAGAGATGGTATTTAAATCCATGACACTGGATGAGACCATCAAGGCACAAGCGTAGGTAGAGAAGAGTCCACAGACTGAGAAGTAGGCAGCAATGTAAGAGAAAAGCAGGAGAGCAGGACCCCTTAACGCCAAATGAATAGTGTTTCAAGGAGTGGAAGGGATGGGCGATGTCAAATGCTGTTGATAGGTTGAGTAAATAGAACCACTGGAATAATAATACAGATGACTTGACAAGTGGTGAGGGTAAAAGTCTGATAAAGAGTGTTCAACAGAGGAAAGGAGAGCAGAAACTGGAGGTACCAAGAAGAAACCTCCGTTTAAAAAGGTTTGTTTTCATGCTAATGGACAATCCACTAGACAAAGAAAAACTGATTATGGAGGATGGGGGATAGCAATACTTAAGTAAGTAAGAGCTGGAATAAGAATCTTGTGGAGGAGCTGGCCTCAGCTAGGAACACAGACAGCTTATCCCTTGACTAGGAGGGAAAACAGAGTATATATGCACGGATGAATGTAGGTGAGAAGATGTGCTATTGTGTTTGAGAGTTCTCTTCCAGCTGATTCTATTTGTTCAGTGAAGTAGGAAGCAAGGTCATCAACTGAGAGAGAGAACAGAGTAAGAAATTCTGGAGATTTAAGGAAAAGGAAGGCATAGCCAAATAGTCATCTGAAAGTGAGCATAAACTGAACTAAATAAATGGAGACCATCTTGCTCATCGTTGATCTGGATAGCCTAGTACAGTTCCTAGTATGTTTTGGACACAACTGCGACCTGAGGCTTGAGAACCACTGACTCTTTATGAATACAAATTAAACAACTTCAAAGGTTAATGAGTTTTGTTTTTTTTAGTCTAGAAAAGATCAGTGACCAGGGCATTTGACATATTAGTTGATCTTGTTACAGGAAATACTGAAACCAAGATCAAATGGAAATATTCTAATGACTCTTGGGATTATCTTTTTCATTTTTCCTTCTTTAGAAATTTGTTATATTACACTTCAAAAACAAACCCTAAAAGGTGCATCTAATAAGATATGAGAGAAGGTAAATTTTATAGAAGAAAGGGCATGGGAATTTAAAAAGCAGAAAGGAAGGGAAAGGAAAGAGGCAGTAGATACTCCCTCACTTGCAGAGGAAAGGACGCAGAGTGGTCTAAGTACAATCTGCCATTAAGCAGAAAACACAGGAAATTGAAATAGAATGTAGATGTCAGCACACTGACTTAACGTGGTCGTAAAATGTTTTACTCTTGAGAATTAGTTGCAACCAAAATAACCATGCGCTACTTTTCAACTATGTATTCTCTAAAACACAACCATTTCAAATGATGCCATTTGACAACTGTAACAGCATAAAAACTTGAAAAAAATATATCTGGCAGTACATTAACAGTATCTGTTAGAACAGATATTACAATATTTTTGGTGATTTTTATACAGTTAGAAGTGGTTAACCCCCTCCCCCAAATTAAATAATAGCCCAGGGAGGAGTTCACAAACTCAAATCCCCATAGGGTTAAAAGCAGGTAACAAAATGAAGCAGATGGTGAGGATGATGACAGGGAGCTACAGTGATGTGGCAACAGGCAACCAAGGGCGTAACGGCTCCTCAGCTCAGGCCACTGTTACCGCATACAGAGCTAGCTGTTCTGCCAGATCTGCCATTCCTAAAATAGATATAATAGCTTCAATCTGAAAGCTTTCAATGTCTGAAATACTGGCAACTAATTTAAATTTATGAACTGTGTGCAGGCCATACAACATATGTTTGTGGGAAGCATTCAGGCCCTTGAGCAGTCTAGTGTCCCCTGCATCTGACACCTCTCCATTCACTGTAATGAAAGCATCTTGAGGAAAGCAGAGGCCAACAAAGGGCAAGAGAAGGCATGCAGCACTACGTTTCAGAAAACCTTGGTTTCAGGGTAGGCATTGCCACTTACTACTAGCTGCGTGACCTCTTTGAGCTTGTTTATTCATTTGTAAAATGTAGTTTCATCAACTATCATATCTAGTTCACTGAACTGTTTTGAGCAGCAAGTTAGAAAGTAGGTCAAAACACATCACTAAGTATAAAGTTCATATAAATATAAGTAGATGGCTGTGAGATACTAGAAAATATACACTGGTATCTGCCCCTGGTTCCTGGCATGGAGCTCCTGAAATCCTTGAAATTCCCCAAGCAATAAGAACACAAAGAGCATCTCTTGTCCTGATATTTTGTTCTCTGACCCCATCCCTGACACAAGGCTCATAAATTCCTAAGTGATAAGACTACTAGGAGTATCTTTTGTCCAATGATACAATCCTGGGTGGGCTCCTAGATAAGAACTTGTCACCAGAACCACCAAGCCATGATGAGAAGCTTAGGATTTTCAGTCTTATTCCTCCATCCTCTAAAAAAGGAAGAGGAAACGGAATTGGAATTAATAATCTATTATGTCTACACGAGGAAGCCACCACAAAATCCTAATAGTACAGGGTTCCGAGAGCTTCCAGGCTGGCAAACACATCCACATGGAGAAGGCAACATACTCCGATTTCACAGGGACAGAAGCTCTTGCCCTTGGGGCACTCCCAGACTTTGCCCTATGTATGTCTTCATTTGGCTCTTCAATGGTATCCTTTATCACATCCTTTAATAAACTGGTAAATGTAACTGTTTCCTTGAGTTCTGTGAGCTGTTCTAGCAAATTAATGAAACCTGAGGAGGTGGTCATGGGAACCTCCAATTCGTAGTCAAATTTGTAGTCAAAGACAGAAGTTATTATGAGTAACCTGGGGATCGGCTACCTGCAATTGGCATCTAAATTAGTGGGACCAGTCTTATGAGATTGAATCCTTAAATCTGTGGGGTCTGACACTATCTCCAAGTAGACAGGGTTAGAACTGAGTTAAACTGTAGTGTCTCAGCTGGTGTCACCGAAAATTGCTTGTGTAGAGAAAAGAAAAATCTCTATACATTCGGTGACTAAAAGTAAAGTGTTTTGTGTCAGCAGTAAAGAGATACACAGGACAAAGACTAACAGGAGGCAGATTAAACTGAGTTTTTCTAATACAATGGCTTTAAAGAGAGACCTAACAGGGTGGCCTAAAAACATTTTATATCTTTATGTTCAGCCAGTTCCTCATAAAATGGTAATACAGATTTACTTAGCTCATGAGTTTCCTCAAATACATTAAAATTTAAGATCCTTTTCAAATGTTAAGGGCCATGTAATTTCTTGCTAATATTAATAAAACATTTGCTGAGTACAGCCAAATACACTAAGAGCTGTGCATAGTACTTTCTAAAAAGTTGAGAATATTCTTGGCTTTCCTAAAATAATGAGCAATTTAATGTAGCTAAGTTTAGAAAAAGATATTTCAGTCTTAGGTTTTTTTCTCCCCCTTCTAAGATGTATGTAATCTTACAATGGGTTAATAACACAGATCTGTAAGACACCCAGGTTTATCTGTTCCTCATTAATAAAGCTTTTGAAAGTACTGCTTCCATTAGACAGAGGAACAGGGAGGTCAGGCCCCTGACGGGAACAGGACAGAGTATTCAGGTCCAGGACAACTAAGGGAAAAGCAGCGGCAGTTCTCCTGGTCATCAGGAGAAGTAATAATTCACTAGGGCTAATAATTCTTTCACCCATCTACTGTTATGCAAATATGTTTGGTGGAAACTCTTGATAACTGTTGGACCATTAAAACACATGTAACATGAAGGCTAAGAAAGTATCAAAATTTATGAGGAGCTGCACTAGATAAACACTCCCTAACATACTGTTCTATGAGATTCTTCATTTTTAGCTTTCATCAAAACACAAATGACTGAGCAAACTC